AGTGCTAAACCAAAGCCCTGGGTTTCACTTTCGCTGAACTCAACTGAGTCATTTCTAAACCAATAACTATGGCAGGAAAGGGGAATGCGGTGATCTGATTGGCTCTGAGTGAGTCACATGTCCAAATCTGGTGTGGGGGTTGCTGTGGTTTAAATGTTTTTGTCCCCTCACCAAAACTGATGTTGAGATTTAATCCCTGATGCAACAGTGTTGGAGGTGGGGCCTGATGGGAGGTGTTTAGGCCATGAGGGATCTGCCCTCACAAATGGTTAATGCCAGTATATAATGGGCTTGTGGGAATGGGTCCGCTGTCTTCTACTCTTCTGCCACGTGAGGAACAACGTTCCTCCCCTCTGGAGGATGAAGCTTTCAAGGTGCCATCTTGTAAGTGGAGGTGCACCCTTACCCGACACTAAACGTTCCAGTGCCTTGATCTTGGACTTCCTAGCCTCCAGAACTGTGAGAAATAAATTTGTGTTCTTTATAAATTACCCAGTCTCAGTTGTTATCGATATGTTATAGCAACACAGAACACACTAACACAGAAGTTGGCACCAAGAGTGGGATGCTGCTATAAACAAATACCTGAAAATGTGGAAGCAGCTTTGGAACAGGGTAGTAGATAGAGGCTGAAACAGTTTTGGAGTGAATGCTAGAAAAAGCCTGTATTGCTATGAACAGAGCATAATTCTGGTGAGGGATCAGAAGAAAAGAGCTGTAGGGAGTCTCATTCTTAGAGATTAAGTTTTCATGACCAGAATGCTAGTAGAAATATGGACAGTACAGACTATTCTGGTGAGGTCTCAGACACAAATGAGGAACAAGGTATTGGAAACTGGTAGAAAGGCCATCCTTGTTACACAGTGGCAAAGAACTTGGCTGAATTGTATCCCTGTCCTAGGACTTTGTGGAAAAAAGAACTTCAGAGCAATGAACTAGGATATCTGCAGAAGTAATATCCAAGTAGCAAAGCATTCAAGGTGCTGCATGGCTTCTCTTAACTACTTATGGTAAAATGTGAGAAGAGAGAAGGATTTAAAGACAGAATTTATAGTTAAAAGGGTAGCAGAGCGTAAAGCTTTGAAAAATTCTCAGCCTGTCCACCTAAAGAATAAACAAGCATGTTTAGAAGAGAAAAACCAAGGGTATGGCCAAGTGATCTTTTGATAAGGAGATTAGTGTAGAGAGAAGGAAGCCAAGTTCTCCCATCAAGACGATGGGAGAATGACCTGGAAGACATTTCAGAGATCTTCAAGGCTGCCCCTCCCATCACAGGCCCAGAGTGCCAGGGTCCTGCAGGCAGAAAGGTTTCGAGAGAGGGACCCAGGCTGCTCATAGGACTGTGGGGCTCGCTGCCAGTATTCCAGCACAGCACTCCTTGGCCACCTCAGCTGTGGCTCAGGCAAGCCCAGGTGTGACTCAGGCTGCCATTTGGAGGGCATAAGCAGTGAGCCTTGGTGGCATCCACGTGACGCTAATTCTGCAGGTTCACAGGCTGCACAAGCTGTGGAGGCATGACTTCCTCTACCTAGATTTCAATGGGGTACCTCAGAGACTTGGGGCCCAGGCAGAGACTTGCCATAGGGGTGGAGACACCACAGAGAGCCCTCACTAGGGCAGTGCTTATTGGAGCCATGGGGCAGGGCTGTCCCTGAAAGCTCATAATGGTGGAGCCACCAGTGTGCAGCACCAGGCTGGGAGAGCTGCAGGCACCCAATTCCAACCTGTGAGAGCCCTGTGGGCTGCACCCAACAAGGCTGTGGTGTAGGGGGGTGCACCTGGAGCCTTGAAAGCTCAACCCTTACCCCAGTGTGTGCAGACAGCAGATATGGAGTCAGAGAAGTTAATTCTCAAGACTTAGGATCTAATGTTGTTTACCCTGTTGGGTATTAGACTGACTTGGGACCTGTTATCCCTTTCATCTTGCCTATTTCTCCCTTTTGGAATAAGAATGTCTATCCTATGCCTGTCCCACCATTGTATGTTGGGAGCATGTGAGTTCTTAGATTTCACAGGCTCACGGTTGCAGGGCGATTTGTCTCAGGATGAATGATGCCTTGAGTCTCACCCAGATCCGATTAGATGAGACTCTGGATTTTAGACTTTTGAGTTGATGCTGGAATGAGTTAAGACTTTGGGGAGCTACTGGGATGGAATCAATGTATTTTGAGTGTGAGAAGAACATGAATTTTGCAGTGCCAGGGGCAGAATACTATGGTTTGAATTTGTCTCCCAAAGTACATGTGTTGGAAACTTAATTCCCAATGCAATAGTGTTGGGTGATGGGACCTAACTGGAAGTGTTCGGGTCATGAAGGATCCACCCTCATGAATGGATTAATACCACTATAGAAAGGGCTTGCGAGAGTGGGTTCACTGTCTTCTGCTCTTCTGCCATGTGAGGAACATCCTCCGGAGAGGATGCAGGCACCATCCTACAAATGAATACTGGGTCCTCACCAGACACCAAACCTCTAGTGCCTTGATCTTGGACTTCTCAGTCAGCAGAACTATGAGAAATAAATTTCTGTTCCTTATAAATTACCCAGTTGGAGGTATTCTATTATAGCAGCACAAAACAGACTAAGACAATACCATCTAAACCAGTGCTTTGCAAACTGTCTGTGGTAAAGGACTCTTATTTTTGTTTTAATTTCCAAGTACAGACTGATTCTCTGACTCTGTCTAACAAGATGAGTTCACTGATCATGCTTTTGGTTTGTTGCGTAAGGTTGTATGGAAGTTTCCAAGTTACCTGAATTTTGTCTTGAGTTGGTAGTAAGCATGGTGGACCATAGCCAGGAGACCACATTTTAATAAATACTTCTCTAAACCACATGGACTAAGAAAGAGATGGTTGTTTCCTTGGGAGAAAATCTGGGGAAGGGGGAAGAGAATACTGTGTGCCAGAAGGATGCCCACCACCCTCATTAACTCTACAGATCTTTCTTTTGGAAAGGCCTCAACTTAGTGTTCAGGAAATTGTTGGGTTCTGGATCATTTTAATGGGGTAAGAGGGGAATTTACCACCCCCCTTTTTGTTTTAAAGACTGCAGCTTCTTTGATCTTTTCTGCTGAGCAGTAAGTACTCTTTTTCCTTTCTTTTTCTAGCCAGGTTTGGGTTAGTGTTGAGGTCTCAGCTTTCTTACCCAGCTGTTTCCTAGAGAGGCAAACAGCTCACTGGAGGAGACAGGCAAGGCCTGCAAGCACCACTCCACAGAATGAAGTCTGAAAAGGGCAGTGGGGAAAGAGGAATTATTCTGCTGTTTTTAGTTACCATTGAGGGCAGGGCAGACATAACGAGCCTCCTTAGCAGGACAGCTTTCTGTATTGGTTAAGGCACTTGAGGAAGCTGGCCATTCAAAACTAGGCATTCTAAACTGTGTCCAGGCAGACCAATTTGTTGAGAAGGGTGATGAGAAAATTTTGCCTTGTTTCATAGCAAGATAGCGTAGGATTTAAACTTCCACCTTGCCCATCACATCAGGCCACGTTTTTCAAAGTTATTCCTACATGCTCAGCAGACGATTCGCATTGCTTGGTAGCGGATTCTGCATGGCCTGACAGACCTGTCAAAGAGAAAAGCGACTGTTGGCTGGACTAGTGGGCCTTGGGATTAGTGAAGCATAGAAACTAAATCAGAGCCATCTGGATGAACGTTTGTTGTGGTTACAGCCAGGCTCCATGCATGCCATCGTACTACTCACAGACACAGCTATCTATGCTGTAATTGTGCGTAACTCTAGCAGACAAAAATAACTTGTTCTTATGGGGCAACACACTTTCTTCTTCCCTAGAAAAGTATGTCATAGCTTGTGTATGTTAAATGTTAAGAATTTAGTGTTGTTACAGTGAATTAAGCATGTAATAAAAACCTCCACCCAAGTGTAAGATCTTCAGCTGAGTTTTTTTAAACCGTTCATTAAAGACTGGGGTTGTTGGGGACGGGGTTAAGTTTGCCTTTCCACTCCCCACACTTCTTTCTTAACTCCTGTGGATTCTAGTGGCATAGTTTGTTTTGTGCCTGGTGACCTGTACTGTTCTATTGAATGAAGGTCCTTTGTCTTGCAAAAAAAAAAAAAAAATTTGTGCATGATAAGCCAGAGTTTCCTAATGAAAGAGCTGTAATTTGGGAGAAGAGATGAGGTTATTTTGGAGGAACGCGGGCCTTTGAAAGATGTGGTTAGAGCCATTCCTAAAGAAACAAAATCTGCAGCTGTCCCTGGGTTTAAACAGCCCTCTGGGGAGCTGTAAGACCAGCATGGGGACATTCTAACAAATGCTTTATTTCTTCAGAATGCCTGTCTGGGGAGGTGGAAACAAGTGTGGGGCCTGCGGGAGGACCGTGTACCACGCGGAAGAGGTGCAGTGTGATGGCCGGAGCTTCCACCGCTGCTGCTTTCTGTGCAGTAAGTAGCTCCCTGTGCTCGACCTTTGACAGGATGTGTGTGTAAAAAGCTTCAGTAAACTATTTTTACCTATTTAAAGAAAACTATTTTTACCTATTTAAGGAAAAATGGAGGTTTTGCTAGCAAAGATTACTATAGAAGCACAAGCGGATTTTCCCGGTCTGTCCTTGGCTTCTGTTTCACCTTTTCGCCTTTCCTTGGTACCACATCTGTCTCCCCGGCTTCACTCAGAATTCAGTGTCATTTATGTAGTCGAGCACACTTTCTGGCACGCCGTAGTAAGTCTTGGTGCCAATTTTTGAATAAATGAATCGTTCCTCTTCCACCCCAGCTTTCTCTTTCTGGCTGGGTTCCTTTGAAACCTTCTTGCTTATTTCTTACCACACTGAGAATTAAAATTCAGATATTTAGAAGCTCAAATTCTGTTTTCTCTGGTAGTGAATGTTCAGAGTTATTCATGGTTATTGACATTCTAAATTTGAGGAAAAGAAGCACAGGATATGAAAGTCCCATAGAGGCAAATTAGGAATTGTTGTTTATAGATGGAAAATGACCAGTGTCTGGTGTAGACAGGAAGTAGGACATAAAACAACACATGCCTGCATGCTCTAAAGACAGTAAATACCTGATAATGAGAGAAACAGAACAAGAGAGAAGCCCCAACACCCACAATTCACTCTAATGACAACTTTGTCTTCAGTTTTGAAACAGTATAGTAGCAACTTAAGGAAGCTCTTCATGAGTCATCTGATTCAAATGACAGAATTTTCTTTATTGAAGGATTTGTTACATTGGAGGAACCCATCCATACATGCAGATATTTGCCTTATCCTGTAGTATTGTACAGTGAAAATTGCTGTAGGAAACCATATGTTAAAAATAAATTTGATTACGTTAAGAAAAAAATCTTCAGAAAAATCTCCCAAATTTGAATCATTCTCTTCCCTCTAGGAGCCAGCATTCAAGGTATCTGGACCTCTTTAATAGTGTAACTGCTTCACAGACACCAGAAGCAGATAACAGAAAGTTGTAGTCACAAAAAATATTATAGAAATACTACATATGAATGTTTGCTATGTATTCCTCCATAATAGCTACTATTCCTTAAGAGATTTGGTTTAACCATTACTTTCAGAAGTTACTAACTTTTTTTTCCCTAAAGGAGTCTATTTTTCAGCAGGCAGGTTTGTAACCAAGAAAGTATGAAAATAGAGAAAATGCAATACTTTAGAAATTGCTCTCAGTTTTATCTGTCTAGGTTGAGCCATGATGTCTACACCATAATAAAGTCAGTGTTTTTACTAAATGTCAAGTTCTTTACTGGTCATTTTTACTAACCTTTCCTAATACTTGTCTCTGCTGACTAAAGCTTTTAAGGAAATAATTCAGAGTAGTTTGCAGACCTATGAGAATTTTACTGCAGAGAATAGGGATGAGGACTGGGAAGAGAGGAGCAGTTATATAGTGACATTTTCATGTACCTAAACTTGCTTCGGTTAATATAGATTTTTTTCAAAACAGTTCTTAATATTTATTTATATTTATTCTGTCTGTTAAGGGTATTTGTCCCTCAGCAGTGTATGTTTTTAGGTTAACTGTATCTTTAGTCAAATGTATTTCAGCACTTGAGCCTCAACAGATAGGTTCCAGAGTAGGTGTCATTTTATTCTACCACAGAAGACTCTAAGATAGTAGAACCTTCCCAATTTAACTTTATTTTAAACCAGCCACCTTGTCATCTCCTCCCCTGCCTTCTGCCTTTCTGTTTGTCCTTCTCTCCCTCCTTTTGTTTCTCCCTCTCCCTTTTAAATAAAGGGGGGATCCCCTTTTCAACTATTCTGATCTTTGCTTTCCAGCTGCGGAATGTGCTACCAATGAGTTCCCTCACAATTGACTTTTTTTCTCAAGCTTAATGGAAGTTTTAGAAAGTGAAATAATGTCTGGATAAAACATGATGATGTTTGGCAGTTTTATGAAGTGGGATATGTGGAAATGTCTTGTGGCAAGAAATCCATCAAGAAAGAATGTATTCTCCTTTGGGACAGAAGGGAAAACAAATGCAAACTTTAAACCGCATGACAATTTTCAGACATACTTATCACGGCTAGAGAAGCTGGTTGGGAGCTGAGAGAAGAACACTTTTCCCATTCTAGATGAGTAATGAAAACTACAATTCTGGATTTAAAGCTGTTTTTATCCCAGGGGATGCTTTTTGGGGAGGAAGCACTAAACAGGCAACTCCTCCAAGGCACTGAGCTACCCTTTTGTTCTTTGTGAGGTTGTGATTTAATAAGACTTGGTATGGAGAGGCTGAAAGATTAAGAGTGAGGGTTGCCAGCAAGTCCTTGTTAGTTTATTCCTTTTGTTCCTATAATTATAGCCATCTCTGAGACAGAGGCAAATCATATTAAAAGTTTGAGGCTTCAGGATATTAAGATTCAGAAACAACTAATCATATCCATGGAGAAAGGCCAATAATCCTCAAATGTAGTTGACCAGTCCAGATGCTGGCTGTCTCGTGGCTTTTGGGAAACCACAGGATAAATTAGGAATGTGAGAGCGCCTCAGCCTTTACCATGTGTAGACCACTGTCTGTGCCACCATTATTCTAAGGAAAAAGGTGTTTAAAGTCTAACTGTTCCTCCTCCTCCCGCCCCAGTGGTTTGCAGGAAGAATTTAGATAGCACAACAGTGGCAATTCATGATGAAGAGATCTACTGCAAATCCTGCTATGGAAAGAAGTATGGGCCGAAAGGCTATGGTTATGGCCAGGGCGCTGGCACGCTCAACATGGACCGTGGTGAGAGGCTGGGCATCAAGCCAGAGAGGTGAGAGAGGAGATCGTTTGTTACCTTTAGGAATGAGTTACAATAATTAATGTTGCATGGTGAACAGGAACCTGGGAATTTCCAGATTTTTAGTTTAAACTAAGCAAATACAAAGTGACTAATTTTCCAATGTAAACTAGTAACTATTCTTTAAGTTCAAAATATTGACAGTTTTGAACCTAGCAAAATTATTATTTCTAGTCTTGGTTTTATAGCATTCCAAAGTGTATAGCAGTTTATTTACTTTTACTTGCATTTCATAGCACTTTGGAGACCAGATGTCATGCAATTAAATGATAGAGAAATGTATCTGAATTATGGGAGGCGTTTCTCATGTACAGTTAAACAGTCAATGAAAATTCCTATTACTCTTTCCATGTAAGAATTTTTCCTTATCAAGAAATTACTTTTCTCTAACTTAAAAATTCTTACTTAGGCTGGGTATAGTGGCTCACTCCTGTAATCCCGGCACTCTGGGAGGCCGAGGCGGCGGATTGCTTGAGGCCAGGAGTTCGAGACCAGCCTGAGCAAAGTAGCAAGACCTTGTCTCTAAAAACTGAAATTATTTTCTGTTTTTGATTCTTTGAGAGACTAGTGGTAAACTTTAAAGGCTCTGGTATCAAAGTCAATGTACCAAGGTGCTAACTCTGTTAAATTTCACTTAGTATTTTATAACCAGGCTGAGTAACTTCATTTGGAATTTCCTCTTAATTCCTATTTGTTTAACCTATTAACTTCCCTATTTGAACTTCATATTTTTCATATTCATTTTATATTGAAGAGGTCAAAATTGGTGTAGTACTCCAATAAAACAGCCTTTCATTGGACAAGACCATTAATTGTGCCAGACTTTATAGAATGTTAACATATGTTAACTCATGTAATCCTCACAAAAATCCCACCAAGTTAGGGTTTTCTGTCTTACTGAAGAACAAATTGAGACAGTAACAATTAAGTAATTTGCCCAAAGTCACACTGTTAGTTAATTGTAGAGCCTGGAACTTAACCTACTCTAACTCCAAAGCTTATGATCTGAAACGTGATGCTTGACTGGGCTGAAATAATATGTATTGAGTGCCTATTGTCTGCTGAACATTTATCTTCATTCTGTATAATCCTCTATAACTCTGAGGCGTTGTAGATATCTTGTCCCTATTTAATAGATGAGGACACCAAGGGTCAGATATACAGTTACTAACTATAGTAACTGCCATACAATAGATCTTTTTAACTTATTCTTCCTGTCTAAATGTAATTATATATCCTTTGACCCCTCTCCCCTAACAACCTCAGCCTCTGGTAACCACCATTCTGCTACTCTCCACTTCTGTTAATATGAGATCAACTTTTTTAGATTCCACATATGAGAGAGATCATGTGGTATTTGTCTTTCTGTGCCTGGCTTATTTTACTTAACACAATGTCTTCCAGGTTCACTTATGTTGTCAAAAGTGACAGGATTTCATTTTCTTTTCATGAATGAATAGTATGCCATTTTATATATATACCACATTTTCTTTATCCATTTATCTGTCGATGGACCCTTGATTCCATACCTTGGCTATTGTGAATAGTGCTGCCATGAACATGGGAGTGCAGATCTCTTTGATGTAATGATTTTATTTCCTTTGAATATATACCCAGTATTAGGATTGCTGGATCACATGGTAGTTCTACTTTTGATTTTTTGAGGACCCTCCATACTGTTTTCTGTAGTGGCTGTGCTAATTTACATCACCACTAAGTGTGCAAGGGTTCCTTTTTCTCCACATCCTCACCAACAGTAACTGCCTTTTGTCTTTTTGATAATAACCATTCTAACAGGAGCGAGGTAGTATTTCATTGTGGTTTTGAATCACATTTCCCTGATTAGTGATGTTCAGTGTTTTTTCATATACCTGTTGCTTATCGTATGTCTTTGGCCTATTTTTAATTGGTATATTTGCTTTCTTGCTATTGAGTTGAATTCCTTATATGTTTTGGTTATTAACCCCTTATCAGATGAATAATTTGTAAATATTTTCTCTATTCTGTAGGTAGTCTCTTTACTTTTGTTTCCTTTAATGTGCAGAAACTTTTTAGTTTGCTATAATCTCATTTATCTATCTTTGCTTTTATTACTTGTGCTTTTGAGGTCCCATCGAAAAAAATCATTGCCCAGACCAAGAAGCCTTTCTTAATGACTGAACACCTGTGGTCTGGACTGCCCTTGTGGCATGTGGTAATTATAACATTCATGGAGACCAAACATCTTCACAAGGCTCTCCCAGAGAGGCAGCATTGTGCTCAAGAACCTTTTCATTGAGGCCGACCTGCATTTTTCAGTTCACACTCACCAATTCACTAAATCTCTAGTCCTTCAATAAGTTATTTAACATCGAGCCCCCATTTTGTCATCTGTAATATGAGGTAACAATTATCCTATGAAGTTGTTAGAAGGCAGATGGGAGGTAATCTGCGCAAAGTTCTTATTAATGTGATGATTGGCAGATTTGGAAAATTTCCTTGGGCATCTCATAACTGCAAGTGTGGGATATCATTGATAACAAGCTCTTAAAGAATCATTTTTAAAAGTATAGTATATGAGCAGGTTGTGAAGATTCTTTGAAAATACACCTATGTTAAGGACAATTGGAGAAGACTATACTGTGAATTAGTACTTTGAATTGGTATTTGTTGCTTAGAATAAAATTTCCAGTGGCCACATCAAACATGATTAAAAAAATCCTATAAACAACTTAGGTGAAAATGCAGAAAACTGTTAAATAACAACAAAAAGTAGATATAATGGAGATGAAGATATTGAAGGTACATGTCAAATGTTTGAAAAAATTATTTTATGAAAAGGCAGTATTTCTAAACTAACATTTTATTTGATTTTAAATATGCACAAACTTAAAAATATAACTAGGAAAACTTTTATTGGGGAGAGTGGTTGGGTGGTGGGAGGTATAGAGTGGGAAAGTGGTAAGACCAGATTTTAGGATTTTTTTTTTTCCTTAAAACTTGAAATGGCTGCAAAATAGACAATGTGGAGGATGGCTTTATTTAATAGGAGGTAGACTCAGGATTTGGTGCTGACTGGATGCAAAGATGATTTGGGTTTCTGGCTTGAGCACTTGGAGAATGGCACACAATTTACTAGGAGGGGAATCAGTCTTAGGAGAGAAATCATTAGTTCAGCTTTGACATGATGAATTCAAGGTGCCTGTAAGATATGTGGGTGGAGATTTTTAATAGCCAGTTCAATACAGAGTCTAGATGAATATGGGAGAGGAGGGCTGAAAGGAGGTTAGAAAAGAGTGAAAAAGATTCAAAACAATTATTATGGAGAACCCCAGAACAACCTGATGGGGAAGATGCGCTTACTAAGACATAGTTGAGACCTCAAACATCGTGATTTCATGGAGAAATAAGGTAGTTGCTTTTATCTAACACTGACATTTGCCAGGGGTCTGTGATAGAAAAATGGTAGAGGAAAGTAGCTTCTAAAATATTGAAAAGAAAGTGGCTGGAGACTAGGATGTTATAGGGCTATTCGATGACATATGGAAATAATTTTAAGTATATATTTTTAAAGTACCATAGTTCCATGTAACATGTATTTTAGTTTAAATCAATTTATCACGTGAACATAGCTCAAAGACATTTTAAAGTTTCCATCCTTCATCTGACATTAAATTCAACAAGAGGAAGCCCATCATGGTATCCACTGCAACTATAAATTCACAAGTGTCCCCAGAACTCAGAGAGAAAGAATTTAAATTTACAGCTGGTTTATTACTAAAAAAATATTTCAGTTGCCTCTCTGTTGCTAAATCCCTAAGTCAGTTCTTGCTGCTTCCTTCTTAATCTTCCATTCTCAATATTGGCATGCTCTAGAGCTTAGTCCCTGTATCTTCTATTTATACACTCTCAGGAGCACATGCAGTCTCAAGGTTTGTCTGTTCTTGATTCTCAAATTTATGTTTCTCTTGAACCCCAGACTCATATATCCAACTGCCTACTGGATATCTCCACTTGGAATGTCTGATGAGCTCCCTAAACTTGTACATCCAGACCTGAGCTGCTGATATATATCCCCCTTAGACTGCTCTACCCACCGTCATGCCCCTCTCAGCAAATGGCAGCTCCGCTCAGTTACTCAGAATAAAATTTTTGATCATTCTTTCCCACATCTTACAGCCAATCAAGTCTAAAAGGATTGGATTCATCAGATCTTTACAGCTTCATTTCAAAACCTATCTAGAATCCAGATTAGTCCAAGTGAATCCAATTTTTCGTCTGGTTTATGGCAACAGACTTCCAACTGATCTCTAAGGCTTGTGCTTCTGTCTTTGGCACCTCCTTCAGTCTTCCCTCAGTGGAGCAATAGAATGATCTTGGTAATACCTAATTCATAGTACTTCAACTCCTCAAAAGCTTTAAAGGGCTTCCCATTTTCCTCATAGTAAAAGCCAAAGTCTTTGCAAAGGTCTTCAAAGCCCCTGCACCTTACTAGTTGATCTTATTGCCCACTGCTCTCCCTCTCACTCCCTCCACTGCAGCCAGACTCACCTTGCTGACCCCAGAACCAGAAAACATGTTTTTCCAGTAGGAAAAACTGACACTTAACTTGCCACTTGCTGAGTGCTGTTGATAAGCTCAATTAATTTATAAGATTCTAAAGGGGCTTTTAAATCTTCTCAAGGCCCAGTGGGTGTTCTGAAATAGTAGGTACACCAACTTGACTGAATGGAAAAGAATTCCTGAGAGCAAGGAATATGGTTTACCCAGTGACCCAGTGTAAATAATGACAAAAATAACACCCTATCCAGAGAAAAAGTAAACAGATCACATAGTAATAGGCAAATTTTCTAAAATATTTTCCCATGAAGAAAGTAGTTCACATTTTCCTCTTTAAGATATGTTAGGAAATTAAGTAATCTGTAAAACATGCTTAACTTTCTTATAGACTACGTACATCAACTGACCTATCTGCAGAATTTTTTAACTGCTCACATTGATTTTTCAGTCTCCTGTGAAGTAAAAAAGCTAGACGTGATTAATAATATGAATCTGGAATAAAAATATGTGCTCTGGTAGGCTTTTATAAAACTAACAACTGCTTATTGGAGAGGCCAGCACTGGGGATGAAAACCCTATTTAGACTTAGAGGAACAGGTAAGTTTGGGGCCTTTCTTTTTGTAGTAATGAACCCGTAAACGGACTAAACTAATAACGGTGGCTGACACCAGAGATTAATTTCTTCTTTATTCTTTCCTCTATACTGACCTGCAGAGGAGTCTGGCCTGAGACAGTACAGTAGCCAAGTCCCAGAGTACTACTGTTCCTGCCATGTGGACTTGTGAGCCCCCTGTAGAGTATCTTGCCTAATTTTTTTTTTCTCTTTCCACAAGTGTTCAACCTCACAGGCCTACAACAAACCCAAACACTTCTAAATTTGCTCAGAAATACGGAGGTGCTGAGAAGTGTTCCAGATGTGGGGATTCTGTATATGCTGCTGAGAAGATTATTGGAGCTGGAAAGGTAAAGTGCTATTTTGAATTAATGACAGTGAACGACTCCTCTCTGCTCTTTTTCCCTCTAACCCTGCCATATCACTCACTCAGGTGCTATGTCTTATAAATGCCTTCTATCAAACTTTTAAACAAATTTCCATCAGAATCATTAATTTTTTGAAGCAATGCCCTTATTTGAAAAATTACTTTTACGTATAAAAAGAAACTTGTTTTCATCGGAAACGCTCCTGAACATTAACTTTAAAAGGCCAGACTATTAAAAACCTGGAATCTGCCAGTTATTTAGTGTAGTGAAAAAAGCAGTAAACAGAGTCAGGACACCTGATGCTAGTTAGGTGCCTGGATTTGGAGAAGTTACCACTTAACCTCTTTGAGCTGCAGTGTTCTCAACCAGAAAGGAGGCGGTCTTTAAAGTAGACTGCGCTTGTGGCAAGGTCTGAGACTGCTCTTAGGGCAGTAGCCCTTTTGTAGGTGACCAAGAATGTAGATAGTAAGGAGGGTTAGTTTCTGTTTTCAAGTTGGAGTTGAACCACAGAAGTCAGAAGCTTGCTCTGGGCTGATCTTCCCGAGCCACTTTTTGCTACACATCTAAATTAGACTTCAGGAAACAGGGTTCTTAAATGTGCTAACACATTTGTCTCTTCTAGCCCTGGCACAAAAACTGTTTTCGATGTGCCAAGTGTGGGAAGAGTCTTGAATCAACAACTCTGACTGAAAAAGAAGGCGAAATCTATTGTAAAGGTAAAATTAATTTCATTTATTGCTATATGAATAACCTACACTGGTTATTGTTTAATGAAACGTCACCAGCATAAAAAAACAAGTACTCTGAAAATAGGGAAAAGGAGGTGTCACTGGCTATTGGAAAATAAAAGATCCAGAGATGCTTACAAATGACGGAGAACCACAGATAATCTTAACTTCCTGATCATTTAAAACCCCCCACAAATAAGCAAAAACACTATAGTTATCTTTCAACTTCACATTTTAAGCAAAGCATATAAGTATATGAAAGTAATGGACAAATACGTAACTGATCTGACTCGTATGCTTGCAAATGAGCTGAACGCTATGGAAATTAGAATGCTTGGACTTGCCATCACGGCTTTAAGATATTTGCTACATGGCACATTTTACATCGTAAATGATTTGAACTCTTTGACATTGCCAGTAGTTTGTTTTTTAATCTATGGGGATTTGTTGAGTGGGTCTTAAGCAATGCTAGCAAAGCTTTACGGACTTGCACTTAACGGACTCTCCCTTTTCTTTTGTAGGATGCTATGCAAAGAACTTTGGGCCAAAGGGATTTGGTTATGGCCAAGGAGCAGGAGCTCTTGTTCACGCTCAGTAAAGGTGTAAACCCAGAAATAAGCATCACACACTGAGAATCTCTTCATAATCTAGGCACAGATAATCTTGTAACACTAAACTACTGTGAAATTCTACCAGCACTGAGTACTGTATATTACCCTGTACTTGGTTAGGCTGGCTAACTAACTTGTAGGAAAACAGCACTGTATCCTTTGCTTTATTCACCAGCATTTTTAAGAACCATTTCTTTTACATTTTAAATAAAACTTCAGCTTGATGTGTGTGTTCATTGTCTTAACCATAATTAACCTTTTGGAGGAGCTGCTGTGACTTCAGTTAGTAGAAAATCATTTGGGCCTCCACTTGGTTAGAGACTCAACCCCCTCACCCAGTGACTCACTAGGTTAATGTCTGCATAACAGGTGTTGAAAAGGATGTCTCTTTTAAGCTGGCAAGTACGCCTCAAGAGGGACGGTTAGTAGGCAACAGGCATCTCCATTTCAGCTCCTCAGAGCTGGGTTCAGCAGTGCAGCATCTCTTTCCTTCCTGCCCTGCTATCGTCTGAGTTCCTTTATACCTAAAAATTCTGACAACTGTAAACTCTCCACTCTAATCTGATAGATGGTGATTTACTAAATCCCGGAAACTGGGGTGTTTTCACATATTTCAATTCTGCCTAAATAGCAAAGATGCTGTATTGTCTGGGCACATTCAGCTGGTTCCTGTAGAAAAGGAGCATTAGACTGTATAAGGTATGGTTTCATTATTCCCCCAGAAGCTTTAGTTCTTTACCAAGATATTCAATCGAATCTTTTCTCCCCCCAAGGGTAAGGTGTGAAATTGGCCTGTAACGTATATTAGTAAAATTGAACCAGCCCAGTCTGTAAACATACCTTAATATTTTCCAAGGTCCATTTTAACATACTATATTGCTTATTTTGAAAAGCTAAAGAGGGTATGGTATGACATCAAAAAAATAAACCAAAACATAATGGGAAGAAGTTGAATGAGGTTGTACTCGGTGGTTATTTTACACCTTAGTCTTGAGCAACTTCAGGAGTTTTATAAGACATACCAGTTCCATTGTGGGAGGGCACTTTAGTTAAGCAGGCTGGGAAATAGTTAACTGGCAACAAAAGGGGTTGAACTGAAGGAGACGAGTTATGGAATAACATCTGATTCTGTATGTGGTAGTTTTAAAACATGTCCATGACTTCTTTGACATTACCATCAAATGATGGTCTAATTCCCTTCCCTCTGAATAAAGGCCAACTTCAGGGACTCATTTTTAACCAAGAGAATATGATGGACAAGGCTAGGTTAGAAGAAACAATACAGCTTTTGCCTCTTTCTCTTGGGATGCTCACACTTGGAGTTCAGTCACCATGTTCTGAGGAAGCCCTGACTACATGGGGAGGCCACATCTACAAACAAAAATGCTTTAAGCCATCAAATGTTTGGGTAGTTTGTTAGGCAGCAAGAGATAACCAGAATGAGAAACAATGGGAAATATAGTAAATTATTCCCCCCAAAAAGCTTACATTTCCCATACCTACCATGTTTCCCAAATGGTAAGTTGGTTGCTAGTAGAACTGGAATTGGAGTTGCCAGTAGATATTCCAGAGAGGAAAAATAATGTCAGTGAAGTTGCCAGGTGCTTGGTAATTTGAGATTTCTGTCTGTCTAGTAAAATAAAACAAGATAGATAACCATTCATATTTAAAATCATTCTTGATTAAATTGGGAGCTATGGCAAAATAGCTACTCCAAAACTATAAAATTAGTTTCCAGCTGTTCTAGGAGTAGAAAAAGGAATTATGGCTTTGGGCCACACTCTTCTGAGGATTCACTTTGATCATTTGGATGTAAGTGGGTACAGCAGCACCAAAGTAATCCAAATGCAATATCAAAGTGCTGCATGTTCAATATATACATATTTTTACTTTAAAAACTACCCATTTGATGTATTTTCTGCCCCTTATGTTGGTTTAGTATATTTTTATGGAAGACTGTCAACTCTAGTTCCAAAAAATCTTCCTGATCAAATAAGTTTAGGAAGCGTTGATTTTGTGTGTATATAAAACACACACGTATGTATGTATGTGTATGTATCCCTGTAGAATAACTGCATACCAGCATATTGAAGGCCTTGAGATCCCGTGGTTGAAAAGTCTGTGTTAACTTGCAGAGAGCCTTACACGGAATTAGTTGTCCAAGGCAAGACTGATATCTTGGGAAATGTTGGTCTGGACCTATGGTTCTCAAAACAGTTTGATCTCAGGATCCTTTTACATTCTTAAATTATTGAGGACTCCAAAGAGCTTTTGTTTATGACAGCTGTATTAATATCTATCAATATTTTCCACATTAGAAATTAAAACACATTGTAAAATTTAATTCACACTTCCACTTACTGCCAAGATGAAGTAACAGGGACCAGATTTACCCACTCACTGGAAACAAAGATAAATTATGTGATATAATGTTCAGGACTCTGGTCATTAGGCCACAAAGGCCATGGGGAAAAATGAGATCATTCTTAACCATTACCAAAGCTTACTGCCTTCAGAATTTCTAGGCTACAGTACAAGAAGGGAGAACACAGGTGGAGCTAGAAGCCACCCTCAGTTGAGGAGACAGCTGAGAGTCCAGTCCAGGGGGACCAAGGTGCCTAAAGTTCATAGGACTAGAGGGAGCTGCACAGAGAGAACTCTAGGATTATGCAGAGCACTACCTCACCTTGCTAGTTTTCAGCTGAGTTCTGGTGGATCATGCATGTTAGGTGACTACCCAAGGCCAGGGAAAGAATCATCCAAAAGGCTCAGAGGAAACAAGTGTCTGGTGCTCACACTGCATGGGAATAGCCTGCTCCCACCAGTGAGACTGGGAAACATGACCATTAGGGTTTTGGATAAAAACATAGAGAAGACTCTTACCTCAGTAATGGGGAATAATTAGCCCTAAACAGAGCACTGTTCTGGTCCTACTTAATGAATCTTAAAAGCAAGACCTGAAAGGATCAAAATTTCCAAGTAACTTAAATACATGCATCCCAGAACAAAGCTCAAGAATTTTTACAGGAATTACAAGAATATCGAGCACCCAATTCATAGCATTTGGCATTCAATCAAAAATTACCAGGCATGCAAAGAAGCAGGAAAATACAATCCATAATGAGAGCAAAAAATCTATCTAAACCAACCCAGAATTGACACAGATACGAAAATTAGCAGGTAAGGATATTAAAGCAGTTATATCTACTATATATTTCCAAAAAGTTAAGTAGAGATATGGAAGATATAAAAAAAGGTTCAAATCACATACTGTAGGTGAAAACTATAAAATGTGACATGAAGATACACTGAATGGTATTAATGACACACCAGACATTGCAAAAAAAAAAAAAAAAGCACTGAGAAAAAAATTTAAAAAACCAATTGTGGATCAGTGAGCTATAGGACAATCTCAAGTGGGCTAATATGTGTAATTGGAGTTTCCTGAAAGAGGAGGAAAAATATTCGAAGAAATAATGCCTGAAAAATTCCCAAATCTGATGAAAACTATAAACAATACAGATCCAAGAAGCATAGCAGCAGCGAGACTTTCTGATGGTTTGAATAGAGCCAATCTCGTTCAAAATACTAAAAACATTGCTAAATTTATTGAAAATATTTATCGATCCTAGTAAATGTCTGATAAGAGATATTTTAACAAAATCTATCTGAACAAAAAAATTCATACCCAATTCAAAGGCAAATGAGTTTTTTAAGAGCCACATTTGGTTTCCTTGACTTTGTGACTTAGCTGACCTAAATCAAGGGACATTGTTCCACTTGGAATTACAGAATTTTCCATTTTAAAAATCACATAAATATTTACTAATAATAGAAAACTCATGATAGGAAGCTGAGGCAGGAGGATCGCTTCAAGCCAGGAGTTTGAGGTTGCAGTGAGCTATGATGATGCCACCGCACTCTAGCCAGGGAGACAGAGTGAGACCCTATCTCAAAAAAAAAACCCAAACGGAACTCATGACAAGCATTTTATGAAACCAAAGGTATGCTTTCTGACAAGAAGACTTCTTGTCCTGGTTTGTACCACTTGTTTCCAATTAGCTCTATAAACTCGTAGAACCAGACATCCATCCATATCATAGGTACGATCCACCAATCAGGCAAGGACTGAAAGAGAGGTAAGTAGACAACGAAGAGGAAGAAAGTACTTGACTGCAATGAAAACTGATGGCTTGCTTTATTTTACACGGTTGTTCAAAATACTGTTACCTGAGCTCTAGATCACTCTTGAGACATTTTTTTCAATATCACAAAATAATTATGAATAGAGTATTGGTCCAATCTGAAAATATTCTTAATACCACTGGGTTCTCAAATCATAAACAGCCATGTAAACAACAGGAAAGGGCTCCTTCATATTTTTTCCTTTTTAAATTCCCAAATAAAGTTCTCTTTGCTATGAGTATTAGAGCAGTTCGGAAGATTTCATTTTGCAGTATTTTATTATAGTATCATTAGACATACTTACATTTAAAACCTGGAGATTTATACAGTCCCTGAGGATCCTAATTAACTCCATGGAATCGAAAATTCTTAAAGAAAAATGTATTCTTTTTATTTTAAAAAAACATTAATTACACACACACACATGCATACACACAGAATTAGAAATTTTTTTTAGTATACTAACACCACCATTTACATTTGTAAATTCCTACAGTTTTAAACCATTTGACTCCTAGTTGACCAGGATATAAATATATAGAATAATCTTTTCATACCACAGTTACCATTATCATGGTTTCATCAATTTCCTGAATGAACTGAATGAAATCATAAACAAGTACACACTTAAGAGTCAGTATTTATTCTGATTAATATTTTACAAAATTTTGACAGATTTAATTTATGTAAGGAGAGCTAATTTATTAAACACTTTACAGGTTTTTCTTTCACAGAGTAACACAGTAAGTAGCAAAATAATACTTGGCACAGTTATAAATAAAGAAAATATAAAATAAAGATATCCATAGCTTAAGTATAATGATGCTGTTTTATGCCTATTAATATTTCAAATAAATTCCTGGAAACAAAAATATTAACAAAAACTCCAAAGAAGTAATTCATGTTCAGAGCTGAGAATTAAGTTCCTATTTGCTAAAAGCATCCAATTAAGCTGATATGAACTATTCCCAAACTGTTCACCATCATATACAACTTTAGAACTGGGTTTAGTTGGTTCTACCTGCAGGACCTACCAAAT